AAAAAAAAAAAAAAAAAAAAAAAAAAAAAGATACTTACTGTGGTGTAACTTTCTCATTGGCATTTATTTTTTGGTATTATATTCCCTAATGTTTGTGTTACTAAGGATATCCTAAAAGATATATTCATAATGAAGTTAGGATAGTACTGCAACGGGACAAGTGTTTTAGAACTCCTCAATACATCATCTGAGTCCAGTGAGACTGCAGGCCCTGTGTTTTCTTCGTTTGTCTCCTTTAGCACGTTATTGCCTCTGCATTACATTGTCAGGAACAGTTTTGAGATTTAAATGATATATGATCTGAACTGAATACTAGTTTTATTTGCTTCCATTGTTATCTTTTTTCACCTTGTTAAAGGAGTGTATATGTATGCATGTGTGTATACACATGTACATATCATGATGGTCCTCAGAATGTTTCAATACAGAAGATATAATGCTTTTGCTACATTTGTAACTCACAGGCCAAGTCAAACTGATTTTCTTTTCTTTTTTTTGGAGGAGACAGAGTCTCCCTCTGTCACTCAGGCTGGAGTGTAGGGGCGAGATCTTGGCTCACTGCAACCTCCCCTTCCTGGGTTCAAGAGATCCTCCCACCTAAGCCTCCTCAGTAGCTGGGACTACAGCTGCAAGCCACCATACCCGGCTAACTTTTGTATTTTATTCTGTGGAGATGGGGTTTTGTCATGTTGCCCAGGCTGGTTTGAACTCCTGAGCTCAAGCAATCTGCCTGCCTCAGCCTCCCAAAGTGCTGGGATTACGGGTGTGAGCCACCACACTCAGCCAGTGATTTATTTCTGATATTATATTTACTACAAGAATTCTTTTCTGCATGTGAAAATTCATTTTATTTATTTTTCTTTTATTTTTTTCCTGTCCATCTTGCAGACAGAGAAAATTCATTTTATATAAATGTAGGAGAAACACTGTAGCTCTGTATTGAAATGTTCTAAGGATCATTATGATAATTCTGCTAGCCCTAATCTTATGTTTTCACTAATTCCCATTAATTGTTATTTAGCATTACATATGTGTATCTGTAGACTTACTTTCATTGTGTCACCTTCTAAACCTATGGATGGATAGTTTTTAGTGTGGATTTTTAAAAATAATCTCTTGCACCTCATACTTAGGACTTGATAGTTTCTGTGGAATTCTTATTACTCATAACTAGAGTTTGAATGTTTATTGGGAAAACTTCATCATCTGCTGGTGGCATCTAAGTACTACAATATATATAGAGAGAGAGCAAATAAATAGTTTATTGTATTTATTTATTTTTTTAGAGTCAGGGTCTCACTCTGTCACCGAGGCTCCATGGGTGTAGTGGTGTGATCATTGCTCACTGCAGCCTTGAACTCCTGGGTACAAGTGATCCTCCTGCCTCAGCTTCCTAAAGAGCTAGGACTATATAGGCATATGCTTCCATGCCTAATTTAAAAAAATTTTTTTTTTGTAGAGACAGGGTCTCTCTGTGTTGCCCAAACTGGTATCAAATGCCTGGCCTTAAGTGATCCTCTTGCCTCAAGCCTCCCAAAGTGCTGGAATTACAGACATGAGCCACCATGCCTGGCTAGTAGTCAGTTTTTTGTTTTTTAACCTTACTACTGTCAGGGTTTGAGCAGAATAAATGGAATGTGGCAGTGATCTGCTTTTTCTGAATTTCATTTCATAATAGAATCTCAAAATAGTTGAGTTCTGTTCTTATTTGTGTTCTAACTACTTGATAAAACAAAAATTTAGATTTTCTTTTTGAAAAACACATATACACCCCAAAAACTTACAAGATGCATCAGATGAGTGTTGGGGAGGCTGCTTATGTGGAGACGTCACTTCTTTTTTTAATCTCTAGTTTTTCAAATATTACATAATGGTAGTAATTTGATTTAGACTCCATCACATAGAATTTTGAAACATTTTGATTTAACTATTTTTAATACTATTCTGCATTTGCTCAAAAATATTATTCAATCTGTTTAATCGATAATATCAAAATATGTCATTTAAATAACCTTCCTTAGCCAAGGAATGACAGGAATTAAGACTAGAACTACATCTCTTAAGTCCTAGACTAGTGAATTTCCACAGTGAGTAACAAATTATCTTTTATACTTTGAAAATATCAAAGATTTAATAAATTAGAGGTGATAGTACTTTTTATTATAGGTTTTAAAAACATTGATTTACATTTGAAGTCAAGAAGTGGTACAGAACATACCCCAAAGAATGCAGGCTTGCCCTTGAGTCCATACAGACACCAAATGCCTTGGAATCTTTGTCCACTTATATTTTTATCGTGGTATGTTTTAGGGTTTATACAGTGAAAGATAATGAAATGGATAATGAAATGCCTTACTCAATACTACAACAAGGCCAGGCGCGGTGGCTCAGGCCTGTAATCCCAGCACTTTGGGAGACCGAGGTGGGTAGATCATGAGGTCAGAAGATTGAGACCATCCTGGCCAACATGGTGAAAATCCATCTCTACTAAAAATACAAAAATTAGCTGAGCATGGTGGCATGTGTCTGTAATTGCAGCTACTTGGGAGGCTGAATCAGGAGAATCGCTTGAACTAGGGAGGTTGCAGTGAGCCGAAATCGCGCCACTGCACTCCAGCCTGGCGACAGAGCAAGACTCTGTCTCAAAAAAAACAAAAACAAACACAAACTACAACAAAATATACCCTTGTCCAAAATTAAGAGTGAATCAATACGATATTTTATGTCTATATAGTATGGTGGTATAAATCTGCCATGATAGTGGATCTGGATAGTACAGATTTTGTAGACATTTTTTTTTTTTTTTTTGAGACAGGGTCTCACTCTGTCACCCAGGTTGGGGCAGTGGTGCTACAGCTCATTGCAGCCTCAACCTCCAGGGCTCAAGCAATCCTCTCACCTCAGCCTCTGAAGTAGCTGGAACTATAGGCATATGCCACCAGCCTGGCTAATTTTTGTATTTTTTGTAGCGATGGGGTTTCGCCTTGTTGCCCAGGCTGGTCACAAACTCCTGAGCTCAAGCGAACCACCTGTCTTGGCGTCCCATGGTGCTAGGATTACAGGTATGAGCCACCGCCCCCAGCCTCACACAGACATTTTGAAATAAAACCATATTCTTCCTTTTGTTTTGTTTATTATGGATTACAAATTTATTTGGCAATTAAAAGTAACAGACCAGGCTGGGCGAGGTGGCTCACGCCTATAATCCCAGCACTTTGGGAGGCCAAGGCAGGCGGATCACCTGATGTCAGGAGTTCGAGACCAGCCTGTCTAATATGGTGAAACCCTGTTTCTACTAAAAATACAAAAAATTAGCTGAGTGTGGTGGCGTGCTCCTGTAATCCCAGCTTCTCAGGAGGCTGAGGCAGGAGAATTACTTGAACCTGGGAGGTAGAGGTTGCAGTGAGCTGAGATCATGCCATTGCACTCCAGCTTGGAC